GTAAGCAGGTGCTATGTTTGTCAGACAGCTAAGGGACAAACCCAGAACACATGTCTCTACATGCCCCTACCCGTTCCTACTGCTATATGGGAAGATTTGTCCATGGATTTTGTGCTAGGCTTGCCAAAGACCCAGAGGAACATGGACTCCGTCTTCGTGGTGGTTGATAGATTCTAAAAAACAGCTCACTTCCTCCCATGCAAGAAAACAGTAAATGCATTCGCAACAGCCAGATTGTTTTTCAAGGAGATTGTCCGCTTGCATGGGGTACCCAAGACCATCACATCAGATCGTGACACACGGTTCCTCAATCACTTTTGGAGGACCCTGTGGAGGTTGTTTGACTCATCACTTAATTTCAGCAGTACAGCCCATCCACAGACAGATGGACAGCATAAGTGGTAAACCGAACCTTAGGGAATTTAATTCGCAGCATATGTCGGGAGAGGCCAAAACAATGGGACTTCGCCATAGCCCAGGCTGAGTTCGCCTACAACAATGCAGTGCACAGTTCTACAAGCAGATCCCCATTCTCTATCGTGTACATGAAGGTCCCTAACCATGCACTGGATTTAGTGAAACTACCCAGAGTACCCAGCGCCAGTATCTCAGCAGAACAAATGGCGGAACAAATCCTGTCCGTCCAAGAGGCCGTGAAGCAGAAGCTTGAGCAATCCAACGCCAAGTACAAGATGGCCGCAGACAAGCATCGACGGTCTCAAGTGTTTGATGTAGGTGATGAGGTTATGGTCTTCTTAAGGAAGGAAAGAATTCCCGAAGGTACCTACAACAAGTTGAAGCCTCGGAAGTATGGTCCATACAAGATCGTGAAGAAGATTAATGATAATGCCTATATAGTGGACCTACCATATCATATGGGTATATCCAAGACCTTCAACGTTGCTGACCTTCATCGGTATCTGCCAGAGATAACACTTGCCTATCCTAGTCACGACTCGGGGTCGAGTTCTCTCCAAGTGGGGGAGAATGATGGAAGCCCATCCCAATGCCCATTTCACCCCTAGGGGCGACAACTCCTAGGATAAGGCCAAGAGTCCAAGATAAGTCAAGAAGGGATAATTCAAGATCCATCAAGACTTAATCCAAGACTTATCAAGACTCTTCCAAGATTTTCAAGAAATCAAGATCAGAATTCCAACAAGACTCCAAGAAGCATCAAGATTAGCAAGATAATCTAAGATTCATGCATCAAGGGAGATCGGACGGTGGAAGATCAAACTAAGAGGAGTGTTTGTGGTCTTGCAATTCAAAATAACCAAACCATGCATTGATGTTCAGTGCAGGCATCATCCGGGACAATATGAATATTACAAAGATTATGATGACTTGGAGGTGAGATCTCATAACTTGTAATGCATTACACTTTCCGATTTCCATGCTTTCTTAGGATATTGTCTATGTTAAATTTCTCTTTTACAGATCCATTTCCGCCGAGAGCATTTCCTATGTGAGGATGAGGCCTGCCTTGCTAAAAAATTCACTGTTTTTGAGTTCGAATCCGATTTGAAGGTGACTTTATTATGGAACCTGAACTTAGTAAATGTGTTCTTTATTGTGACATTTTTCTAATTCACATTTTTCTGAAATTAGCAAATTCATGGTTTTGCCGTGGAAGGGGAAGGGGACGAGGACGTGGACGAGGATTTCGTCCCGATTCCTCATAAGATCAACTCTCACCGGCCACTCGAGCTAGTTTTGAAACGGCCAACGCAGAGATGTCAGCCCATGATTCATCCTCCAGTGGGCAAGATATTTCTGATCGTAGAGAGAGGATTGAAATGGATGCTATTGTTGAGCCATTTGAATCAATAACTACAATTGAATCTGAGCCATCTTCAAGATACCTCTAGGCACTTGGCCAAAGCTCTAGGAACACAACTTTGGAAGAACCCTCCTCTTCCCACAGCACCAGGAAGGCGTATGCTTGTCATCGGTTGCGTCGTTGGGATGGATAGGTGATCGTCGGGATGGTGGAAATGGGTTTTTTGGTGAAAAACTCTTTCTGAACGGGAGTGGTACAAGGGACCGGATTGGACCAGAGTGGTACAAGGGAGTCCAAAGGCAGCTTACTGGTGTAGTTCTCCAACACCGGAGTCCTGAATAAGTACCTCAAAAAGTTGTCCTCCTCCCATGATTTATTGTTTGCCTCATTTCATGGTTGCCGTTAATGAGCTTTTCAGAGATGCTATTAAGTGCCTGCAATTGAACCAAAAGGGGTTCTCGATTACATGGTCGAATTGATAATTCAGTACAAATAAGAGAAGAAACAAAAAAATCAACAAAGAGAACTATAGACCTTTCGCTCCGCTCCTTCTTCCTTCATTCATTTTCTTTTAGTTGCGGTAGCTTCCGCGCCAGCAAGATACGGCGAAGCTAAAGCAATACTAAACGAGAAAAGCCCTTTCTATCTTATTAGTAAATCAACCTTTCGCCTTTCTTTATTGAGGAGATATAAAAAAAGCTTACTTACTAAACTAATAAAGCGGCAACAAGCACCTTCTTTCTCAAAGTAAACTTTCTCGCTTCTTGCTTTAGTTTTCAATAAGGCTCGCGAGGGGGCGCCCCCTATTGAAATTCCGCGCGCGATTTAACCATAGGCTTTGTTTCGACCGTGATGATCTGATGCCACGATTTCAATGACGATTGTGGGTTTTTGCCGCTCTAATTGCTATTCATGGCATCGAGCATCAGAGAGATGCTTCCAGTTATCCCCGTGTCTCTCCGATCCGGGCACGTTTTCTCCCTCTGTTTCCAGAATCTGGGTGTATCCCAATTACCTATTAACTTAGTTTGTTTTTCTTTTCACAAATATATATTATTATTTTATTTTGGGTTGTGTTTTTCAGCTCGGAGACCTTCATTGGGCCTGAAAGTTGCTTTGGTGATGCTGCATCTGATATATGTCGGTGTTCTCTTTCTTTTTGGTAGAGATTTGATATCCAAAACGAAAAAAGAACCATGGTATGTTCCTATTGTGTACCTAATTTTTCTTTCCTGGCTGAAAATAATTTTATTTTATTTTTTAAACATCGTTGAAATGAACTTAAACAAGGATAATTTCGTGCTTTCAAAGGTTCTTTTTATTATTTTTTTGCTTATTTTTAAATTAGGTTACTATGATCATTTTAAATATTACAGAGGTTGGAGTTATGTGATTATGTTTCAGAAGTTTATTGGTGTTTAACTCAATTAATGGCTAGTTTTGTGTTTTCGTCGACTCGGAGAGCTAACTAAAGAACCTATGAACTGATTAGATAAACTAAATAGAATAATTACGACTAATAAGTGAAATGCTATTTCCGTGCTAACTATATACACTGCAAATTCCAATATCTAACTTCAAACTCGAAATCTTGTAGTGAAAGCTTGACGTTCTCAATCAAATTTTGTGAAAAAAGGTCATTGCCCAATGTTGGTCCCAATTATTTGGGTTACCTTTGGCGATTTTTGGCACAAAATGGCTGCTCTAAGACTTGGTCCTGTTTTCTCATGCTTGCCGGCCCGAGATTATGCCATTACACCAAGCAATGGCCCCTTCTCATCCAATTCTTGTAGTTACAGTAAACTTGCTACTTGCTACCACACTTTCTATCGGGAATAGAGAAAAAAACACTAAATGCGATACTATCTCATCCTGATTGTGATCTAAAAACTGATAACACAACGGTACTACATCGCTTGTCAGTGAAACCGAGACTGGTGCCAGGCCAGTTCTGTAATGAGAATAGTAGGCTCTTTTTAATTCATAAAAAAACAGTAAGCTCTTTTTAGTGAGTATGAAAAGGATTTTGTGTGTAAAAAGGATTTCTTAAGTGGATTGGTTAGCCTTCTTCCCTGCTCAATGTACCCTATTTTTATCATGTAGGTCAAGTATGCAGTCCATTTAATAAATTCGTTGGATAGGGACCCTCTGAATCTGCCATGTATTCATTCTCCTACCTCATGTCAGCCCTACAACTCACATTAGTGGGGTTAGTGGTGGTAGGGATTCACACACAGTTCCACTAGCATTCACGATGTGGATTGCCTATCCTTCTGTGGGTTTAAACTTGCTTCCTCAAATTGAGGAATGTTGAATGGACAACTAAACTACTAGGTTATTGGCGCAACAGAAAGTTTGTCCACGTATTTTGCAGCCTTTATTATTGTTAAAAAAATTCTTGTGGCATGTGGAGTTGGTTTGTATTGCTTCTCTTACTTAAGAGTTCTTAAGGGAAGGGGTCTCTTGGTTTTTCACGTTGATTGCAATGTAGCCAATGAGATTGTGATTTTATCTGTTGGCTTTGTCAGATAGGAGTTGTGATTCCCCTTGCACTCTTCATACACTTTATCCATAAAATTGATTTTAATTCTTGCCATACAGGGAATACCTAGTCATTGGCTTGTTTCCTAGGAAATGACTTACATTGACATGCAACAACACCTAAGCATCATTTAGATACCTTGATTACAACTCTTTTTTCTTTTGTTGAGTTGTATGTTGGATATAGCAGATTGAATGGTGGATTCAAAGATTTTTTAGTAATCCTATATGTTGGTCTACAATTTCCAAGTAGCGGTAACACTGACCCCTTGGCTTTGCAGCTCTTAAAGGCAGTGACTTGAGTCTATAGTCTCTACTCGCATAGACAACGTTAGGATTTGGATTCTTTCTAGCTCTAAACAAGACCAACAAGAGAAAGGAAGAAAGGAGAGAGATAGGATGCCCATAGGCAAACACAACAATTGATTCAATTTCAAAGATGACTGAATTACATGTGGCTGGCCAGTTTTTTGTACTGTCGAGTTTGGAAAGACATGCACCTTTTGGTGCTCAAAACTTTGTACAAAAATGGATAAGTAAAGGGGTAGGTAAATCATGTAGGCACTTGAAAGCTTAGGATGGAAACTGGTAGTTTCAGGTGCCTGAGAGCTCAGTAGTCTGCAACCAATTAGGGTGGGAGGTCAGTGTAATCTTCATTGACGTTAGAAAGATTTGGGTCAACATTCACTATGCACGTTGGGTCTCTATCGAGGCTCGGATATATGTGGCGAGATAACAAAGTGAGGAGTGATCTCATGGGCAGGCTTTGGGTGATCTTATGGCTGTAACGAGTTTTGGGAATGTTGAGATTATGTCTCGTGGTTATGATCTTAGTGATGTGAGTTTGCAGGACATGGAGCATCACAAGGCAAGCTCGTCAGGGTCGGACATGCTCTTTGGCTTCGTTCTTCCTCTTTTCCGTTCCGTGGTCACAATCTTGGGTCTTGCGGGTTGCATCAATTATTTTTAATATTTTAGGATTCAATTGAGATCTTAAGAAATATGAAGTTTGGTTTGGGATCAACAGGTGATAAAGCATGATTTTAAGGCCTCTAGGTGCCTTTTTCTTTGTTTCTTTCATTCCTGCTATAAGTTTTGTGCTTGTTCAACTATTATGGTCTTATAGTGCATTGGTTACAGGTGCCCTAATTAATAATTATATGATAATATGAACATATGGATGGGTGTAAATTTCTGCCTTTCTTTATTTATTCTTCTTACTGTTTTTTTTTTCATTGATTGTCTATTACTCATTTGCCTCGATTCTCAGGTACACAGCTATATACTTGTTACTTTTTGCCGCAACCTTGGTTCAGTATTTCTTCACATCTGGCTCTTCTCCTGGGTGAGTTTCATTTTCTATTTCATCACAAGCTTGTTAGTATGGCTTTGCGAATTGAGATTTGATCTTGAATGTCCAATTAAGCTCTTAAGACTTCATTCCTGTCTATATCTAACATTATCTTTGTCTATTTTTAGCTATGTAATTGATGCCATGAGGGCTGTTAATGAGTCACATGCTATATCCAGGAAGGCATCCATGACATCAAAGTAAGAGCTGATTACCATTTATTTTAACTTGTGTAGTTTGATAATTGATGTCATGTTAATATGTGTGTGTGTGTGTGTGTGTGTATAATTAATCCTCAAGCCAAAATGGAAGCTTGATTATCCCTGTAGAAGATACCCAGTCAGGAAAAGTTATTCTAGGCAATAATACTATATCATGGGCAAAGCTAGTGATGGACATGTATCCTCCTGGATCTTCTGTGAGGTAGGCAAAACATTTTTGTGCTTCATGCAACCTGATGATACTTGGTAATACATTTGCAAGCGTTTTTTTTTTTTCATTCATGTATGAATTTCCTTCTCAGATCTCGGCATTCTTCAATGTTTTGTTCGTCCTGTCCATAGTGACATGTATTCACTCTTTGGCATCAGAGACCTCTTTAGAATGATACCATTGCTAACAGAGTAGAGAAGAGTTCTCATAGTTCTTTTTAGCATTTTGTTAGCAATTCTTTGCTTGCCTTACTCATAGAGGTTTTTAGCAGAGTATCTTGCTTGGATGCCCCCTCTTTGCTTAATGTCTCAAGTTTAACTTCAATAGATGCTCCCTAGGCAATCCAGATGATTGGAGTTTATATTCTACTTGGGTTATTGTATTTAGGCTAAGATTCTAGTACTTCTATTTTCTATAGGGCTTCAGATTGATGTAATTTTTGCTAGTGGATTGGTTGGAGCTGGAGGATACTCAAGTTGTTGTAAGAGGAATTTCCCAGTCCTCTGCTGGTCCATCATAGGGAATGGATCCTTGGTTTCGAAAATGAACATCTCGTTTAGCTGGATTCTAGAGATGGCTAATTTGATGGTAGATGGTTTGACTAGGCATGGTGTTAACTGTTAGTAGCTCTGAGTTGTTGTATTGGGGTCCCCGTTTTCCTAGGTGGTATGATAGTGACATTATTTATTTTTGAGCATGTTGTTAGAGCATTTCAAGTGACACTGATTTGAATCGGGTGTGTGTATTCATCCACCCAGAAAAGAACAAATAATATTAACTCCAAATATCATGAAAGGACAATTATGTCCCTCACAAACAAAAGAAAATACAAATACAAGCAAGGAAAAAGGGGAAACTACAGCAAGATGAGATACAAACAATGTACACTATAATTATAAATATGGTCCCATCACCCTATATCTCTTCACCCCCTTCAAACTGATGCTGGGAAATAAGCATCAGTTTGTCACTGAGAAATTGATGGTGAGCACGTGTCAGAGCTTTGGTAAAGAGATCTGCTAGTTGAAAACCAGAAGACACACGAGGAAGGGTATAGGTCTATGAGAAAGACTAATGTTATGCAAGAGAGCACAAAGCCACATCAATTCACTATAGGCTGAGGACATTGCAGGGTACCCAGCTCAATTAGCATCAACATAGGCCTTAAGAGTGAATGAGTATGATGAAGAAAAGAAGAGGCCATGAGACAGGGTACCCTGAGCATAACGGATAATCCGATGAACTGCTGACATATGAGGCTTCTGTGGGGCAGAGACAAACAACTGACAATCTGAACTGCATAGGGTGATGGGGCCATGTTAATATTGTACATTGCCTATATTGCATCTTGTTGTAAATTCCCATTTTTCCTTGCTTGTATTTGTATTTTCTCTTGTTTGTGAGGGACATGTTGTCCTTTCACACTATTTAGTGTTAATATGATTTGTCTTTTTCTGGGCGGATGAATACAAACACCCGATTCAAATCACTGTCACTTGAACTGCTCTAACATGGTATCAGAGAAAATTTGATCTCAATTCCTGTGAACACAACTTTCATTCTTGGTTGTTAAGACTGTGATTAGGGTCTTCAAATCGATCCGTTGGAGTTGATGAAGGGTTCTCTTTGTGATTATTTCAATCAGTACAAGGTGAACTGCATTTTTTCATTTTTTGGGAAAAAACACCCTTTGAATCAGTGTTCTTGCTCTCTCTCTTGATCGCCTTATCTATTGAAGCTGAGATTTTGCATCTCGGGTCACCTTAACCTCATTGTTATACCTGTAAAATCTCATGGAGATTGGGTTTTTACTAAAGGAGTTCTGGTCTGAACAAGAGGAGTCGCTTTTTGCTAGAAAAGGATGCCCCTGGTCTAGTAATCTTGCATTTTTTCCTATTTGGATGAACTTCTAGGGCTGAAACTAGAGACTTGTGTCACCCTAGGCTGATTTCTCTTACCCTTAAGTCTTGTGGTGATTTGAATTTGTTTTGAAGGGTTTTGATCCCTTTCTTAGCTTGGCAGATTGAGTTTTCTACAATATTCAAATCAGATTGAGTTTTCTACCTTTTCTGGGCCTAGAATCATTATTGTACTTGATTATCAGCTGTTCCTTGCTCTTTTGTCATTTGTCAAGTTTGATAGAACAAATTACACACTATGGCAAAATCAGATTTCTTACCTGTCAAGTTCAACGGAACAAATTATGCACTACGGAAATTTCACTTCCAATTTTGTGGAAGGGAAGGGACTCTTGGGTCTAGTTGATGGTACAATTGAGAAGCTGGATAGTAGTGAAGCTGAAAAATTACAAACATGGAAGGTCAACTATGCAAAAGTGGTTTCTTGGATTCACAGTTTAATCACTACAGATGTTGCAATACATATGTGGAGTTTTTGTACTGCCAAGGAGAAATTACAAGATGAGATACAAGTAATGTACATATAAACATAGTCCCATCACCCTAAATCCCTGCTTCCAAGGAGGTCACCCATTGTACTATTCTCACCCAAGCACATTTAACTTTGGAGTTCTGATGGGACCTGATGCATTAGTGCTGGTATGATGACACCTATTGGTGGTCATTTGACAACTTATGAGGTAGTGGTTCCAAAGGTGTGCCTAGGCACACAAGTGAGGTGCATTTCAAGGCTTATGCATTGCCTAGGCCTAGGTGCAGGTCTTTTGCAAGGGGCATGCCTAGTGTGCCTTGCACCTCATCCCAAGTGTGCATCTTAGTTAAAATTTGTGCTTTTTTCTAATATGGTTAGGCCAGGCTTGGAGCTTTAGGACCCTTGACCAAGCCCCTTGTGGCAAGCCTAAACAAGTCCATTCTAGGGCCCTAAATTTTTAATCCATGCTCAAAAGATTGGTTTTGTAAGTTTAGTTATAGTTCCTTATCTTTATAAAAAAAATGTCTTGTATTAAGAAGGATGAATGAACAACATCGGCAAATAGGGGGGGGGGGGTCTGCTCGCTTTTCTCACTCGTTAGTGCTTTGAGAACCCCCTATTTGTTAATTTGTTCATCCATTGAAAATTTAAGAATCTAGCATGGACTTGCTTGGGCTTAACTCAAGGGTTTGGTACAAAAGAAGCTTGTGGAATGTAGAGAACACTGATGTGGACCCCATTGATGTGGTCCCCACTGTGTTCATATGACAATAGTAGACAGTTAGTTATTTCAATTTGTTAGTTGGTAGTTTAATTTAGCCTTATGTTATTAGTTTTTTCTTTTATTATTTTGCCATGTAAACAATAAGGGTAATTCAACCCTTTTACAGTTATTCGAATATGAATATAAATTATCAGAGTGGGGCGGCTATTGCAAGTCACACTCTCTCTATTTTCTGAATTCTCTCTTCGAGTTCTTCTCGTCTCCTCTTCTTCTCTTCAATCTTTATTTGTTTTTCTCATTAAAACCTAGGACAGATTGTAGTCTTGTTCGACTACTTGGTATCAGAGCCAACCTAGGAGTTCTTATGCTAGTCTAATCAGGCCAACTACATGAGAATTTCCTAGTTTGGAAGTTTTCAGTAGAAAAAGTGAACTTGGAGATTACTGGCAGTGTGCAGCTGCTACTAAGGAGATTGTAGAGCCTTGGAGAGTTCCAATGACTAGGAAGAATTAGAAGAAGGTTCGAATCCTCAAGATTAGGGTTTTGCATCAGTTAGAAGGTGGCGGCCAGAATTTTTTCATGAAGTAAGTTATTTTCCTTGAGGTCGATATTAAAAAGATCATTTTTGTTTATTTTGAGAGGTGCAGCTGGAAAATCTCCTCTTTTCACCTTTTTTTTAGGGTTTTAAGAGAAAACCCTAAAATCCAAGTCTGTTTTTGATTCCGGGTCAGTAGTTGGACTTGCTTCATTCAATTTGAGTTTGTTTTTGCTCTCTAGAAGATCCAGTAGAGCTGTTCATTGTTTCTGGGTAGTTGCCGAATCTAAATCATCCTCTTAGGTTGGTTGTTATCAGTTTCTGGGTACAATTTCTCCTATTACAGTGATTAAAAAAGTGTTTTTTAATTAACTCTTAACCAAGAATGGAGTTTAAGAACCAAGGGGAAGGTGTTTTGGGGGCTGGTGGTTTTGGTAACATGTCTGAGAACACTTTTTAGATTACAACTGTTAAGTTTGATGGATCAAACTACTTTGAATGAGCCCAATCAGCCATGATGGCCATTGGGGGTAGAGGAAAATTGAACTATTTGTTGGGGGATGTGAATGAACCAACTAAGGAGGACCCAACCTATGCCAAATGGGTTCAAGAGAACTATTTGGTGATGGCTTGGCTGTGCAACTCTATGTAGCCGCATATCAATTGAAACTATTTGTGGGCAAAAACAACTAAGGAAATATGGGATGTCATGAAAGAGACTTACTCCCAACCCCTTAATGTTGTTAGGGCTTATGAGATGAAATGTGAGGTTAATAATCTTAAGTAAGGAGAGAAACCAGTCTCGGTTTACTTCTCAACCTTGAAATCCTTGTGGCATGAAATTGACCACCTAGAAACAATTGAGTGGGAAAGTCAGAAGGATGCATAGAGTTACAGAAAGTAGGTTGAAACTAATAGGGTTTTTGAGTTCCTAATTGGTCTGAATTCTGAATATAATATTGTGAGACAACTACTGACAAGAGACAATGTGACCCTATCACAAGCCTAGGAATGTTATGTTGTAGCATCGGCCCTTCGAATCAGCCTTGGCATCAATTAAACCTAAGTCTAGGGGTGATAAGGAGAGGGATATGAAGAAGGAAGACAAGATCACAAGAGGGACCTAGTATTTGAACATTGCAAGAAACCTAAACATACTAAAGACACCTGTTGGAAGTTGCATCATCATCTAGTTCTAGCAAAACTCAGGAACAAAAAGGTAATGCTAATATGGCTGTTAATACTGATTGTGCAACCTCATCAGGCACAAGAGGCACACCACTAGACACCCTAGCTGCTGTCCGGGCTGCTCTAACTCAGTTGGTAATTCATCTCCATCACCTCAGCCGCCATCAGCTCCTCCCACCTCAGCTTTTGCTCATTCAGGTACTTGGGCCTCAGCTTATCGTGCTTTAGCTCCAAGTATAACACTAAACATTGTTGGGTAATATACTCAGGTGCATCTGACCATATGACTGGCTTGCCCTAACTGTTTACTACCTACCACTTATCTTCTGGTAGAGACAAAGTGTCCATTGCTGATGGTTTCCTTGTTTCCATTTCTGGTAAGGGAGACATTAAGTTGTCTAATGCCATTTCCTTGTCTTCAATTTTGCATGTTCCTAAACTTAGTATTAATTTGCTTTCAGTTAGTTGCATTACTAAAAACCAGAATTGTTCAGTGATTTTTTTCCTTGATCGATGTGTTTTTTAGGATTTGGAGACAAGGAAGGTGATTGGGACTGGCCGTAAGACGAATGGGATCTATTTGCTTGGTGGGAGTTCTCATTGGGAAGATAGTGAAACTAGGAGCTCTTTTGTTTCTCAGTCTGTTGGTTAGGTTATGCCTTGGCATAATCGGTTGGGTCATTTATCTTTTCGGTCTTTGAAGAGTTTGTTTGAGTCTGTCCAGATGTCCAGTTTGAGATGTGAAAGTTGTGAGCTTGCAAAGTACTATAGAACAACTTATTCATTGAGTAATAAAAGAAGTAATATTCCTTTTGAAATTGTGCATACTGATTCTGGGGACCTTATCATATCACTGCTATGGGGGGGGGGTACAGATATTTCTTGCTGTTTGTTGATGATTATACCCGTTTTTCTTGGGTTTACCTTATGCGTTCTCGAGATGAGGTTTCTACATTGACCTGAATCTTTCATTAGATGATTTTAACCCAGTTTGGGGTCAAAATCAAAATTTGTAGATCCGATAATGCAAAAGAATACTATGCAAAACCATTAGCCTCTTATTTGCTTGACCATGGGATTATCCATCAGAGTACTTGTCCTCATACACCACAACAGAATGGGGTTGCTGAGAGAAAGAATAAACACATATTGGAGGTGGCTAGAAGCATTATGTTTAACTCCAATGTGCCTATACGTTTATGGGGGGATGCTATTCTTACAACAATATATCTCATTAATCGAATTCCTTCACAGGCTCTTGACATGAAACCTCCATTTACCTTTTTATATCCCGATAAAGAATTGTTTACCGTTCCCCTTAAAACGTTTGGTTGTATTTGCTTTGTTCAGATTCTTGGCCCTCATCGTTCCAAATTTGATCCTAAGGCCTCAAAATGTATTTTCCTTGGTTATGCACAAACTCAAAAGGGATATTGCTGCTATGAACCCATTTCTGGGAGGAGATTTGTCTCTATGGATGTCACTTTCTTTGAGGATGTACCCTATTATCCTAGGGTTTCTCCTCAGGAGGAGAGTAGTGAGGTTGGGATTAACTCATCAGAAGTTCCTTTACCTGTCTCATTGAGTGAAGAGGGATATAATGGGGAGGGTTGTCAAAGGTGTCGGGATTTGAGAGTCTATTACAGACGGTGGAGGTAGGTTGGTTTTGGTCATTAGTAGTCCAGGCCAGCCCCAGTTCATTCTATGGATCCAGATCCAGGTACCACAGTTCCTTTATCAGATATTACAGATGCGATACCTTCCACTGTTGAGCCCTCACCTTCATTGGATGACTTTGACCTCCCCAAGGTAAACGCCGTTGCACCACATCCACAACCCACTGCATTTCCCAGTTCTTGTCCTATGATCATCTGTTCCCCTCTTACAAGTCCTTTCTTGCATTCATTGCTGATATTCCCATTCCTAGAACAGTGCAGGAAGCCTTGTCAGTTCCTAAGTGGAAGGATGCAATGAAGGTAGAAATGGATGCCCTTATCAGAAACAATACATGGGAGATAGTTGATCAGCCCAAAGGGAAGAAATCAGTTGGATGTAGATGGGCGTTTATTGTGAAACATAATGCTGATGGTTCCATTGAAAGGTATAAGGCCCAATTATTTGCAAAGGGATTTACTCAGACATATGATATCGATTACTTGGAGACTTTTGCACTAGTAGCAAAGATGACCACTATCAGAGTTTTATTATCTCTTGTAGCCATTTACTCTTGGCCTTTGTTTTAGATGGATGTTAAAAATGCCTTCCTCAACGGAGACTTTCAGGAAGAGGTTTACATGCAGTTGCCTCCTAGATTTTATGGTGTAGAAATAGGAAAGAAGGTTTGCTGGCTGAACAAAGCCTCGTATGGACTAAAACAGTCCCCCAGAGCTTGGTTTGATAGATTCAGACAAGCCCTTGAAAAGTTCGTTTATGTGTAGGCCTAGTCAGACCACACCTTGTTTATTAAGAAAGTTGATTCTTCCTTAACCTTGCTTGCTGTATATGTGGATGATATTGTAGTGACAGGGAGTGATAACAATGAGATTGAGTCTCTTAAGCAACTCCTTCATCAAGAGTTTGAGGTAAAAGATCTGGGAGAGCTACGATACTTCTTGGGTATTGAGGTAGCTAGGTCTAGGCATGGGATTTTTGTTTCTCAAAGAAAGTATGTTCTTGACTTATTGGAAGAAACTGGAAAGTTGGGTGTTAAGCCTGCTAACACACTTATTGAATAGAGCCACGAGATTAGTGTAGAGGGTGGAGAGCCTCTTGAAGATAAAGCTATGTTCCAACGGTTAGTTGGAAAACTTCTCTTGTTTCACACGACCGGACATCAGTTATGCAGTCAGTGTTGTTAGTATATGCACTCTCCTAGAACTACTCACCTACTTGCTGTTGAGAGGATATTGGCATATTTGAAGAGGTGCCCAGGCAGAGGTGTTTTATTCAAGAATAGTGATCACATGAAGATAGAAGTTTACACAGATGCTGATTGGGCAGGGTGTGTTGATGATAAAAGATCTACCTTTGGATATTGTGCTTTTGTAGGAGGTAATCTTGTCTCTTGGAGGAGTAAGAAACAAAATGTTGTTTCTCGTTCCAGTGCTAAAGCTGAATATAGGTCCATGGCAAATGGTGTGGCTGAAATTCTATGGTTGAGATCACTATTTGAGAAGTTGGGTATTGCTTATGAGAAGCCCTTAATGCTGTACTGTGATAATCATATAGCCCATAATCTGGTACAACACGACAGAATTAAGCATATTGAAGTGAACCGGCATTTTATTAGAGAAAGGGTTTCATCTCAAGAAGTATGTCTTCCGTATATCACCTCCGATATGCAGCTTGCAAATCTTCTCACCAAGGTTGTTTTAAGGAAGAAGTTAGAGGCAGGCCTATGCAAGTTGGGAATGACAAATATCTATTCCCAACTTGAGGGGGAGTGTAGAGAACACTGATGTGGACCCCATTGATGTGGTCCCCACTGTGTTCGTATGATAGTAGTAGATGGTTAGTTATGTTAGTTATTTTAGTTTGTTAGTTGGTAGCTTATTTTGGCCTTATGTTATTAGTTTTTTCTTTTATTATTTTGCCATGTAAGCAATAAGGGTAATTTAATGCAAGATGTTTAACATCACATTATCTATTTGAAGTAATTTGATTGGGAAAGAAAAAAAAATAGATTTAAAATTTCACATACTTAAATTTGTTTTATTTGTTATATTTATGTATTTTAATTTGAGCTAATAGGCTTTTGAAAGCATTTAGTTTATGATTTAAGTATGCATTTTGTAATTAATAATAAGGCTTTGGCCAATCAAAACCCGTTGTGAATTTTGATGAAAATCCACTTGATTGGTTACCACTTTTATGATGCTGATTGATTGGTTATTAGTTTTTCTAGTATCATGCCTTTTTGGCATCATAGTTAACCCTTTTTGATTTATTTTGTTTTTTTTTTCTTTTGCATTTTTTGAAAAATTTAAAATTTTGTGCCTTTTCAAAATGGCAAGCACCTTGTCTTGATCCTTACACCTCAAGCACAAAATTCCCCTTGCATTTTTAAAACACTATTATGAGGTCTTTTTTTTTTTTTTCCTTTTGGACCCTGTATTGCCTTTCGGAGCTGGACAAATATCATATCTTTCCCCATTATTAATATTAGTTTTCAATTACCAATAAAAAGGTTATGCTTGCAAGATTTGAGCTTAAAATAATAATAAACAAGGAATGCCTGTAGAGTTTCATGGATTGGTATCCACCAGAATTCAACAAAATTAAACTAAACTTTGATGGATATAGCATTGGCAACTTAGGGAACTTGGGTATAGTAGTAGTGTTTGGAAACTGCTATAGAGCAGTTCTCGCCATCTTCTCAGGACCAATAGAAGTTGGGGATTCAAGAAGAGCTGAATTGCTAGCTGTTCTATAGGAATAGGGGTTGTGGCTGGGAAAACCCTTAATTTCAGGAATACATTGGTGGAAGTGGACTCCAAGGTGGTAGTGGGATGGCTAAAAGAATAGTAGCCAAAGTTCATGATAATAGAAACACATCATGAGTTAAACCCTCGTAAGAGAGTTGGATTCTAATTGTATATGAGTTCAAAGATCAGCAAATAGTATGGCTAATGCAATGGCCAAACAAAGGGTGAATAGGTCCTAAGATCAGCCTATGGGAAAATTTCAGCAAAAGTATGAGGTTTAAGAGGCATACCTGGGTTAAGAATCCAACTTCAATAACTCCCTTTTAAGCGGTAATTACCTGTTTCTTGCCCCAAAGAAAAAGTGTCAGACATTTGATAATTAACAGACTCCTAACATGGGATCTACATAATTTGGAGTCTCTATTTTATCTATAGGTCCTCATGTCATGGATCCAGGGGGAGATTATACCATCTGATGATCTTTGGCATGATTATTTTGGCTTCAAGGAGCATAGGCTTGAACTGGAGCATTCTGTATGTATGACTTTGTCTTTCTTTGGAAATGATTGATTTTCCCCATGCTCATGTAATATTTCATGCACAAAACTATATAAAAATGTTAATTTGCTTGAAAAAAAAGTGGGATGTTCCTCATAAGAAAAGGTGTGGTATTATGATTTCTAAGACTAACTGCTTCCTCTTGGTTTTGCAGAAGTTGGGCATGCACTTATTGTAATGTTATACAGGTCAGTGCTATATGATGCCTTGTTCTTCTTACCTTGAATTCAGTATATGTTGTGCTGCATCTCTCAATGCATGGATTTAAAAAGCTCACCTTAGATGCGCCTAGGTGCACATGCAAGGCACATTTAAGGTATTCACCTCTAGGCCCTAGGGTTAGCATTTTCAAGAGGTGCGCGCCTAGTGCACCTAGGCGTGCACTCGGTGTGCCTTGTGAAGCTTTGAGAACCCCCTATTTGCTAATGTAGTTCATTCATTCATTCTAATAAAAGATATTTCTAAAAGACAACGAAAATTATAAAATCATTTTTTTGTAAGGATTAAGAATTTAAGACCCTAACTTGGACTTGGTTGGGCTTGCCTCAAGGGGCTTGGTACAAAGGTGGTTCATAGAATTAGGAATGCAAAATGTTAATATCACATTAACCATTTGAAGCAATGCAATTAAAAATAATAAAGTCATTGAAGTTTTATGTGCTTGAATATGTTTTATATGTTATGCTTGATTTTATTTTTACATTTTCATTTTGAATGTCTTATATATTATGTTTATGTATTTTAGTTTGAGATAGTGATTTTTTAAACTTTAAGTTAATTTTTTTAACCAATATTGTGTTTAATATATATGTTTTTAATTTTTGCATTTAATATTGAATTTTTGGCGTTTTTATACCTTGCTTCGAAAAGGCGCATGCTCACCTTGCGCCTTGGGCACAAAATGCCCCTTGCACTTATGTTTGAGCCTTGCACATTTAAAACACTAGGTAATGTTGGAAGTTTTAATTGGGATAGAATGATCAGGTAAGGGACGTAGTGGTAGAGAGGTCTGAGAAGAGGCTAGCTTCTTGGAAGAGAAATTATTTGTCTCTTGGGGGAAGAGTTACTTTGATTAAGTCCACGTTAGCTAATCTGCCAATCTATTTTATGTCTATTTTTAAAGTGCTAGAAAAGATATCTAGGGGATTGGAGAAGTTAATGAGAGACTTTTTGTGGGACCCAGGAGATGAGAGGAAGGACCATAGGGTTAGGTGGGAACTGGTTAGTAGAAGCAAGGAGTGTGGAGGTCTAGGTCTAGGGAATATTTAGAAGAGGAACATGGCGTTGTTGGAAAAGTGGCTATGGAGGTTCCCCTTAGAAAAAGAGAAGTTGTGGGCAAAGATTGTGACAAGTATTCATGGGCTTGCTGGTAATGGTTGGGATGTTGGAATGTCGGTTAGGACTACAAGAACTCCTTGGAAAGCTATGTTAGACAGTGTATGCCCTTAGCTCCAATCAGATTGATGTACATATACATTTATTGTAAATGAATAAAAGTACATAATTATTTCATGTTATGATTGGTGTGTTTCTGTGTAATTACCCCTTAAACTGGACACTTATGAGACTCGTGTTAATTTAGAATGTTCTCAGCTGTTGGATAGGCTTGGGTAGTTTATCCTGCCAAGGCCGACACTAATGTGCTGCTAAAGAAGTTGGGGCAGCTTGTCTCAGCTGTTAGGGTTGGACCCGAAGCACATGTAATGTGTATTTGTTTGAAGCACTGAGCCCGAACCTTTTTCCAATTATGCCCTGGACCTTGGAGACTGATGGGCAAAACTAGAAAGTTACACATAACCCTTAAACTTGATTATAGTACTGCACTTGTTGGATCGGGCTGTCTTTGATATGCCAATCAGTGAGATCCTTTGGGGGTCAAAACCTGGGTATGTCGGAGCAGTCTGAGAATTCACCCGAGTGGGTGATCATAGTTATAAGATCAACCCCTTTGTTGGACAAAGTGAATGATCAGGACTGCACTCTCTCTGATGGAAATCAAAACTGCTGGTAGTCGATTTCAACTATGTTTGAGATTTGTTTTGCAAAATATATTTATATGATAATATATATATATTATGTTTTAAGAAAAGGGTTTGCAAAAGGTTTTAATTCTCGGGACCCATCCGAGCAGAGAGTGCAACACTACACCTTGTAGTCATGGGAGAGGTCCTTCCCTGTCGGGCAGTGTTTGATCATTGTGGATTGAGAGGTTTAAGTGTAAGAGACCAGTAAGGGCTGTTTACCCGATGGGCTATACCTTACTTAAGTCCATTGTCCTTGGGCCTTCATAGGATGGTTGGACTCAAGGATCATTTAATTGTAAATGTTGGGCCCATTAAGAGCCCATACTGATAGACTTAGGGGTTCACTAAATTCGGCCAGGCCTCTTCTCAGAGGTTGGGCCGAACCCATGTGGGCTTATGTAAGGTTATTGTTGGGGTCCCACGCCATACAAATTGAACCTAAATGGGCCAGCAACTACCTAGGGACGTGAGCCACTTGCTTAATGGGCCTAAAGCCCATAATTAATTGGATTAATCAAGATATCACATGATTGCTGTGACATGGGCGGATATGGGTCTGGAGCATCCATCCTCATAAGAGGATAAGTCTTACCCATTGATAGAGTCCAAATCCAAATAAAGATTTGGATTAGGAACCTCCTAATTCGATTAAGAGTGGTGCTCCTTAAGGCTTATAAAAAGAGAGGAGGTGAATTGCTCCAGATCTAGCTTTCAGTTCTCTCTCTCTGCTCTTGCTACCCAGAAACCCTAATTCGTTCTCCCCTTTGGTGACTGATCTTGATCAGTTTAGTTTCTAATTTTTGCAAGAAAATATCAGAGATAATTCATGCTCACCTCCTTCGTACGATCCAAAGAGTTGGATTGCAGTTTGGCTAAAAACTGCATTGCTGAACCGGCTCCATTCCAAGCTGCGCCATCTTCAGTGGAGGCTGGTTTTGGGTTTCAGTTTGGGCATGAACTACCACTTTGGGAGCTACATTTGTGGAATTCGTATTGGGTATACTTCTCCCTCTAGTTTGGTTTCAGATCTGGTCCGTTTTCGGTGCAAGAACGATCCTTGAAAAATGCAGTTTTTCTAAATCAAGGAATACGATTCTTGGAAGGCTGAAAGAAAATTTTTGAAATTTCGCCCAACCATCTGGCATGGTTCGTCCATCCATATGATGGATTTCACCTTCCTTCAAGCTATCCATGCTTCTTTGCCTCTGTTTCTACCTTGAATCAGGTACGATCTACATTTTGTTAACCATATTAATTTTTGGGAACAAGTCTGGATTGGGACTCCCCCTTGAAGGATCAATTCCCATCCTTGTTTGCTTTATCTAATTTGAAAAATCAGCCTATCTCCAACATTCTGGTACCTTCACAAGCAAATTCAGGGTGCGGGTGGAATTTGGGACTGAGAAGAGCTGTTAGGGATTCAGAACTGAGTAGTTCCTTGTCTCTCCTAAACATTCTTGAGGGGGTTATTATTAGATTCCACTAAATATGACAATAGGGTCTGGACTCTGTCGGCCTATGGGGTCTTTTCATGTGCTTCCTATTTCAAAGGTTTAATTCAATCATTTGATCCACTAGGGCAGATTTTTCCAGTTAAGGAAGTCTGGTGTAAACCTATTCCACCAAGGGTAGGGAGTTTTTGTGGGGAGGCTTTCTTGGAATGATTCAACACTATGATTTTCTTCAGAGAAAGAGACCTAATTGTTATTTATCTCCTCACTGGTATGTTCTCTGCAAGGCTACGGGTGAGACTGGTTACCACTTATAGATTTTTTTGCTCTATTACTAATTATATTTGGGAGTGGTGTTTCTCTTTGTTTGGGTGCAGGTGGTCTCCCCTGTCGGATGTACAAACTCCTTTTGCCCATACCTTGTTTAGTTGGCCAAAGAAGGAGGAAGAGTAATGCGGAGATGTTTAAGGGTTGCTGTCTTTTGGACTATTTGGGAGGAAAGGAACGGAAGAGTCTTTTCAGATAAAGAAAGAAGTCCGCAAGACCTTCTAGAGGTGATCCTCAGAGTGGTGCAGTGGCTGAAATCAGTGAACCTGTTTAAAGAGTTTACAATGGCGGATCTGATTAGAGATTGGAAGGAAATTGCAAGTTCATCTACAGCTAAGGACACCCCCTACTTTCTTGGACTCCTCCCCCTAGTGGTTTCTTCAAATTAAATTTTGACGGAAGTAGCATTGGTAATCCCAAGTCCACCAGGTATTGGAGGTGTCTTTAGAAATGAGGAGGGTAGGGATTTAGCTATGTTCTTGAGGCCAATTGAAGTGGGTGATGCTCTCCGGGCTGAGATCTCAGCTGTCCTAGAAGGAATTCGAAGGGCTAATGAGCTAAACATCACTAAATTGGTTATAGAGGGGGATTCCAAATTGGTGGTGGGCTGGCTAAAAGAAGAAAATGCTAGCTTTTGGATTTACAGCAATGAGAAGAGGAAATTTAAGTGGCTGACTAAAGATATTGAAGTCAAACTGAACTGGGTGAAAAGAAGTGCTAACTCCTTTGCTGATGGGTTAGCCAAACAAGGGGCAACTAGGGACTCAATGTTTTTCTTTGCCTAAAGGTGGGGGAGTTAAGAGATTTTATCTCCCCTTCTCCTGTAATTAATTATTATCTATAAATGAAAGTTATGAATTATTGATCGAAAAAGATAAAAAAAAGAATGATCAGCTAAGTATATTTCTAATCTAATTTTAAGGGTTGACAAGATATATTTTAAATTCTTAATGTTTTAATAGAGCATGCATTGTTTTAAGACTTAAGCTTAGAGGAAGAGATTTTAAGTTATCTACTAGTTTAATTTCTTTATGACTTATCCTAGAAAAATTGTTCTTTTTACTAACATGGAGAAAGACTTGCCTCAAATTAAATGCTAAAAACCAAGCCTTTTACCTTATTTTTTTAAGCTAAGTGTGAATATGTTTTATTGATTGCATTGAAAATGTAGCCTTGGCAGGTACATTGTACAAGCCTGATAGAGGTATTTTTTTATAAGTAAAACTAAGTGTTGAATATGTTTTGTTTTTTGAATACATATTTGCAGCCTCCACGCTCGAAGCATTGTCATGATTGTGACAAATGCGTTCTTCAGTTTGATCATCATTGTGTTTGGCTTGGAACATGCATAGGACATGGTAATCACTGCCGATTTTGGTAAGTTTACATCCTTTGTAATTTATATAATGTCATTTAGCAATTATTTGATCAATCCTTTAGTTGCATGCTTCTATGCAAATTATACATGATGAGCAAAAAGCAAGTTAGAAAGTTTTTAGTAACATACTTGTGGGAGAGTAATGTTAACATGTTGGTGAAAAGTTAAAATTAAGCCCTATAGTTATAATATCTTTAGTGGAACCCAAAAGATAAAACAACTTTGGTGGTCAATTGCCTATGTTTTTAAGATCTTTTGAAATATTTGTTTGTTATGTTTTAGAATCCAGTCCTTCCATGTTGTTGGGCAGCCCTTGTGATTTTAAAAGTTCACTCATCCTTTATTCTGTAAAGAATTTGCTAATATTGTGCTATTATTGTTTCTTGTCTCTATGAATTCCAATAAAAAAACAACAAAGAAAATCATATGAAGATACTACACACCTTAGCACTTGCAAGCATGGTTCAAAGTATCGATACGCCTCTGTGTATCGGCAGAGGCGTATCGGTACTTAGATACAAGCAGAAAAACCTTTTTTTTTTTTTTAAGTTTGGTTTTTGGGAAGATATTTAAGCATATTTTTTATTAAAAAAGAGTGGGGTAAACAGGTGTATCAGACCCCACCCCCAAAGATGCGAATGCGATACGATACGCCCGATACGGGGCGCATCATATCGAAATTTTGAACCTTGCTTGCAAGGGAAACTAAGTTATAGGAGTCTCCATCTGGTCTTCCCAGGTGATTGATAAGGATTCTTTTTCACTTATTTAGCAAGGGAAATTGGAGAATCGTTATGTCTTCCCACATCCTATTGGGAAGGGAAATCTATCCTTTGCTATGTAACCACTGATGTGGTCCCCACTTCTTTCTATTGTACTCGTATACAACTACTAGTTATTTAAGTGTCAGTCCACAATTAGTTGTTAGTCTTTTATTAGGACTTTAGTCTTTTAGTCTTTTATTAGGACTTTAATTGTTGTCTTTTATTAGGATTTTAATTTTGCCATGTAAGCAGTCTTATCCTTACTTCAGAATTAATATAAATAGAAAGAGGGGGGCGGCAGATTAAGCATCCTCTTCTTTTCTGAAATCCTTCCTTCGAAATCTTCTTCTCTTCTTTTCTCTTTCTCCTCTCATTCTCTCATTCTCTCCTCTCATCCTCTTAATTTCCTGTTGATTATACACCACAGCTTGGGCTGTCAGTAGTCTCATACGACTACATGCTGTAAGGCCTGAAAGAATGTGAGTATTCTGGTATATGTTCAAGGAGGTGACTATACTCAACTGTAATACATTCTAGTGGAGAAATTTGACATGTGGCTTCTCTATTGAACATGTTTTTAATGATAAGTATTTCCTATCGAACATTTTGTTTGCTTATGTCCATGTTTGGTTAAGACTGAAAGATTTTTTTGGGTAATGCCATGACTATGAGATCATAAACATCAAGTTGTTGGTATGTTATCTTATGTTGTATGTGCCCTTTCTCAGGCTTTGTCCTTTTTTTCTTCTTCTCGATAGATTCTTCAAATTCTCAAAAACAGAGGAGAAATCTCTGCCTACTTTTGTCAATAGTAAAATATCATTTCTTAGATAAATAAAATTCATTATGTCTCTTTGTCTATCTGAATTCATTAATGAAGAGAAATTCCGATGCCTATGTTCTAGATCCTTTTTTTTTTTCTTTTTTTAATACATTCCTGTTGCATTTTATTAGGATGCTTCTTCCAGATCTCAAGAGCTCAAACTTGATTTTGCACCATTTTATCTTTGTTCATAGGCGGTGTTTGGCATCGATGCCGTTTTCTGAGAAAAGGTGCCACATCAGTGCCACATCGTTTTTCCAGAAAAAAACGTTGCTCCAGACCATGCCTTGGAAATTGGGAAAGTGTGATCTGAAGAAATGCCAAATTCAGTGTTTTCTCAGAAAACAGCCTGTTGCTGTCAGCAGTGCAATGACATGACATCAATGTGGCATCATCTTGGGCATTGGATAATGTAGACCAATGCTGAAAGCGGTTATACAGCATTGGTACCAAATAAAACCAGTGCTGTTTTCTGAGAAAATGGTGCAATAGACCCTCATGCATACAGCACCATTTTCTCAGAAAACATCTTTGAAGCAACGGCACTGATGCCAAACACCTACATAAATGCTATTAGCAATGATGCTGTTTACATCTCCAATTCAAGCTTTGTTCAGGGGAAATGAATCATTAATCTTTACAAATTCTATAAGATGTTTGCCTATGTATCTTTCTAATGCATTTTTCTTATCAATAACTTGAAATTTTAATGGCAGGTGGTACATTGCTGAAGAAACAACTTTGTGCATCTGGACTTGCATCTTATACATTACTTATTTGAAAGCCAATATTACAAGGGCATGGTACATTTTTTGATTCTTCATATTGTACAAACAAGCATCACTTTGTCATGTATTTGAAAAAGTAGTCTACCTCCTGCTCAATGAGTGATATGGCCAAAGAAATAGTACCCATTTTTCATTGTAAGTATAGCTTACCTTCTTCCCCCCTCCTGACCAAGCCCCCCAAGTTGACTTAACACTCCAAAGCTGATTCCATACCCTAAATATGTGATTTGGGTCAAGTCATGATCCCAATGATGTGTGCTTCTCTAAAGTAAAAATTAGTAATGTTTGTTACTCCTTTGATTCCCTGGGAGTAATTTGACTTGGCAAACTCTTAGCTGAATGTTTTACAACAGAAAATTTCACTTATCCAGTAGCCTTGCTGTAACACATTGATATTTAGTACTTAAACAAATAAAACGTTTATGACATGTCAATTTTTAGATGGATGCAATATTCAAAGATTGACCCCTTTTTACACTGTTTTAATATTCTAAAAATACTTCATTGATTCTGCAAGAAAATTGTTTAGTGGCGTTCTGGATTGTGACACACTTTTTCTGTGAAAATACAGTAGTTAATATCTAGTTAGGTATGTCTTCTATAAGAAGTTGGGGGGAGGGGATCCTACATAAATAAGATGGAGGGCCTAGAGCAACTAAATTCAAGAGAAACAAATAACATTATCTAGTCGAATGATATTCAGCCCTAACATAATTCTGGTCTGCTGTCACATTGCAGAGACTTACTGTTATTTGTAGATTAATAAGGATATCCATTGGGATCTTGATTTACAAATTTATTATTTATCTGCAAAAAGTCTTCAAATTATATGAGCTGGGAATTATTTGTTTTATTAATAATTAATTAGTATGTTAAAGAACTCTGTATGAGGGTGGCTGTAAGTTGAGTGCTGTAGAAATCCAAGAACTAACCCTAGTCCCTTCCCCCTAGAACAAAATAAGTAGTGCTTCACTATGTACAAAGCCCTTAGAAAACCCTCCAGTGCAGAAAAAAGGAACTCCTAAGTGTTTACACCACACACCCTCTGTAGGAGGGATCTGTTTTCTCGAATTAGCAGATCCCTTTGTCCCAAAGAACAAGGGGTTAACTTTAGATTCCAAAACCTATTAAAATAAGATAACTTTGGCAGACAACACCTGATGATGCGCAATCCGGCCACTCCTAGCTGGAAGTGACGAGGCTTCTAGCTGGCGACGGGCAAGAGATAACTACAAGAAGGACGAAGGGACCTGGGGTTGAACACCCGACGGGGACTCTCCGATGCTTAAGTTAGAACTCGGTAGCGAGCTGAGAATGAGAATGAGTACGCAAGAAGATGAGAGCTAGAGAGTGGTGAATATGCGATACCTTTGCCTCTGAGGAGTCGGAGTGCTTATATACTGGCGTCTGACAGGTTCAGTGGGATTGATCCCAAATCCCTGCTGTGGCGATCTGTTATCAGGTCGTACCTCGGAGTGGCTGGCCGTTACTGTCAGGGCCGAGAGTAGGCAGGCTATAATGACCGTTGCATGGTACGGTCCCGCCAGCTGGGGGGACAACCTGTAAGCATGACGCCGCCAGGCGGGAGACAGGGGCGCGCGGCCTTTTGAATTGGTAGGCGCTGCGCTGTTAGACGAGGGATGCAGGAGTAGTCTGGCAGGTACGACTTTGTCAGATGAGAAGCTTCCTGTAGAACGCCGAGCCGCCCCGTAGCGAGCTACCCTGTGACGAGCTACTGGTGGCGTGCCGAAGTGGCTCTGCCTGAGGTGAGTTGTCTTTGAGGCGGCCCACTTGCTTGGGCCTGGAGCGAGCTCGTTGTTCCAGTTCGCGAACTGGGACGAACTTAATTCGGAGTGCAGCTCGGGACATCGGCGTGCTCGAGCTCACCCCGTGGCGAGCTGACACTTGCTGAGCTGTCACCTGCGTCGAGTCATGTCCACGTACCGGTCCGCCTATGCCGAGCTGTCGTATATGTTGAGTCACGTACTCGTGTCACCTAGTCAGGAGGTCGGGCCAAATCACCCTTCATCAACACCCATGAACACTAACCCAGCCAATGGTGATACAGTTGCTGGAGAGGGAGAAATAGGAGAAAGAACCCTGGGTTCAATCACCCGAAACACAACTTGTACTGCGTTTGGAATAAATGAGTATAAAATGAATAATCTTTTCACTTGGACATATTTTATAAATTTTGAAGTTGGCGTGACTCCTCAATGTAGAGAAAGCTACTAAAAAGTCCTCTTATCTGCTGGATGTTTTGAGTAGTAGGAAGTACTTGGATGGTATCTCATCAATCTACCAAGGATGCTCGATAAGGATTCTAGGTTTTAGAATACGTCCAGTATTCTAATTGTCCAAAACTTAAGTTTAATTAGCAATTCACCAGGGCTCCTTGTGGTTGAATTTGTGTAGGGTGGTTGGGAATATAATAGAATCCGAGGGTTATCAATTGGAATGCTTCTAGGCAAGTTGATCATGGAACAAATGACCTTGTAGAGCTATTTGAATCACCATAAACTAAACTTATCATGGAAAAAAAATATTTTTTTTTGGCAGAAAGAAAAATATTGAATGATTAAAAATTATTATCTAGTGCTGAACCCTGCTATCTGGGCTCTTGGGTAGGAGGGTGGACTGAATACAGACCTAACCTCCAGCATTTTTTGCACCAGTAGTTACCATCAGACGTGAGCCTGCATTCTCATGCTTGTTAACCTAAAATTTTACCATTGATTGAAATTACATACAATTAACAATTATGATTCAAGTATTTGGAGCCTAGACTTCAGAACAAAGAGTTGATGGATCTGATTGCTACATGAACAAGAATCAGCGCCAAACTTATCTTAGCAAGTGGTGTATGGGGAACTATGAAGCCAACTATACCTGTTGAATCCCCATTTTGTTCACCCTGAAAAGAATGCATCCATAATCTGACAAGGCTGGCCCTCAGTAAAGTTCCTAAACGCTCTGCATCTTCCCTAAACAATGAATTTGAAGAAAATTGGCTTATCTTTGAACCCATTTGAATGAGGTAATCACTTATGATGCCAAAGATGGTCCTTGTAATAAATTGAACTGCTTAAATGCTTTTGACTCAAAATTGCAGTAATGGGATTGAGATTTAAATATAGTGCTCAATTGATTCCACCTGTAGAATTATGAATCAATTCATATCTCCGAGTTAGTTCTGAGTGGATCTTAGCAAAGTCTTGCCAGGGCATGATCTTGCTCAGTGCAACAATGTTATATGCTACAGATGGATTGCCACAATAAAGAAAGATGAAGTGTCTAAGTTGCAAAGTGTTATAACTCTGGTTCTAGATTGATACTAATTGGCTCCACTAATCTTGTTTTTATGTTTTATTTAGTTGTCCACATTTAGTTTTTTCAAAATTCAACAAACTTTATTATTCTCATTTTCTAAGCTGCTTTCTAATTTTGGAATAACATGCATTAGCAGGTGGAAAGATGCCATCATGATATTGCTTCTGGCCACACTGTCCATTTGTCTGATCTTTTTGCTCTTGCTTTTTCTTTTCCATAGGTAAGATTTGTTGCAGATGCATTATCAGAAAGTTGTTTTTGTTTTCTGCATAAATCTTTCTTCCCCATGTTATTGGCATTCTTTCCCTAAAGGTTGTTCCCCCAAAAATCCATCACTTTAGTTGGCTAATCTTAACCTTGTCCTGCTACAGCTATCTTGTTCTCACAAATCAGACTACCTATGAACTAGTAAGACGACGTCGAATCCCGTATTTAAGGTTAGTTTTATGTGTGTCTTGCTTTCAATTATAATTGCAAGTTATGGGCTATGAAGTGTAAGTTTGGTTATTTTATCGTTATGAAAATATTTTAGCTTCATCAGGTATACCAGACTTGGTATCTTGAATTGAATGAGTTGACAAATTATTCTTTCATTTGATCCTTTCAATTGTTATTTTACATCAATCTTAAAATTGGAATTTAGCCCAACATTTGTTTAAAGATGTTTCTTGCTCAAGTAAAACTAGAGTGGATCGAAAGAACCAAGGATGAAGGCCTGGCTAGTAACTGGGACATGTAATTACCAGTTTCCATTCTCCCATCCACAATTTTTTATGACAAAGAATCCCTTGGATTTGATAATGTTAGCTTGTCCCAAAAGGAACATCCTGCGACACATTATTTTGTTCCCCAAAACAGTAGTGGACCAGATAGTTAATTACTTAATGTCAACTGACGAGATGGTGTGGGTGAACATATGATTGTTGATTGCCCATGTTGTACCTAGTCTATTGCGGTACTGTGTTTTACTTGCCTACTTGTGTTATTAAAGAATTCTAGGCTTTTTACTTGCCTTTTTCTATAAAAAAAAAGAACTTAGGTTTTTCTCTAAGACAATCTGTTTTTCTTTCCATGTTGATGTGGGCTTTTGGCCCCAGCAGAGAGCTAAATGTTATGGATTTCACCTTGGTAAATACAACCCACTTGCCAAGGGACTTGTAGTGGTGGTGATCTAGCAAATTCGTCTATGCACGTTTTAGAATTTCCCACATGTTGGTTTTTAAACATCTGATTATTCTTGTTGTTACCATCTAAAATCTTCCCTGAACTTGCAGAGGGATTCCTGAAAGAGTTTACCCTTTCAGTAAAGGCATCTGTAGAAATCTGTATAATTTCTGTTGTGCTTCAAGCAGCATATACTCCGTGGAACCATTGCCCACACCAGAGGAGCTGGAAGCCAAGTCAAGACCTTACACGTGCTTGGATGTTTTGTCTTGTTGTTGTTGCTGACATTTGGGGCCTTGTATCATCTTCTCGTACAATTTAATTTTTTTAGTGCTGATTTGCCGTGAAAGCATGTCCGTGCATTCTTTCTTTTCTTTTCATTTTCTCGTTACATGGTTACAGGATATGCCATGGCATTGTTTTCAGCCTTTACACTTGCGGGTTAGTAGATGTAATTTTGGGATGGTCTATGTTCTTAGGGCAATTTCAATTGAAAAGTTTCCTATTTGAAAAGACAAGGGTTGCGTCGTGTGTATATATATACTTAAACAAAACCTACATAAAAGAAAGGTTGTGTCAGATTGGCGGCAAGGCATTACAACTTTTGCTAAATCAGGATTCAGGATGAATATTATATTAAAATTAAAATTCAGGCCCCCCGTTCTCTAATCTCTAGTTTGGGTAATCGCTTACCACACAACAATTGATAGCGAAGATAAGAAGAGAGAGCAGCAGCAAGACAACAATAGTCAATCTAGAAGTCAGAGTTTGGGAAGCTAATTAATTTAACTATTAACCAAGTAAACGGTATTTTTTATATCAAGGTTCGAAGCATCTGTGTTGCAACGAGTTACCGAAAGGGACTTAAGGGCAGCGTATACTAGAAAATACGATGGAAATAATAAAACAAATATGGTAAGTTTATCTAAGTATGTTGTAAATAAATCAAATAAACATTATGTGTTTGGTTCTGTTTATGTTTATTGGATGCGTGTTTCAAGAAACAGTTATATGGGTATTACACTTTGGGTATAAGATTTATTACTTAATCCAATGGTCTAAATTACATGTACTTATAATTAAAGACTGATTTTTAGATCCAACGGCAAAAATATGATATAACCCACATCGGTGGATATATGAGTCTCTCTCTCTCTCTGAGAAACGATAACCAATGACTATAAGTAAATAGAAGAAATAAGCAAGTAATTAGTAGTGTCTGGACTTTTTATTAGTGGATAATCATAATGAGAGAGAAAGAGAGAGAGAGAGAGGATGCTTTTTAATAATGTGGGGACAATATAACCAAGAAAGAGATGGTTCTCTTTTTTCCACTCTTGATTTTTCCCCTCTAGCTTCACTACAAGTAATGGAGAAGTTAACTAGTATAAGTGTAAAGAGAGAAATTAACTAGTATAAGTCTAAAGAGAGAAATTAACAGAGAGAGAGAGAGTGACGAGTAATCAGTTAAAGTCTTTGGGTTGGGGGGTTGTTGATGGGTGATAGGGGGTCTATGAATATGAATGATTGAAACTAGGGATAGAAGAGAGAGAGAGAGAGATGTTGGAAAATGGGGTCACTAAAAACTTTGGAGGAGAAGTTCTGAGGCGCGTCTGAAGACACTATCTTTAGAACGTTATTTACCCCCCACTCAGTTTCATTAAGTTTGTTGTTGGGTTATAGGCAAATTCGTTCACAGGATACAATAGAGCCTTGGACGAGAATCTGCAACCAGCAAAGTTGAAGAATCTCCGACAGAGAGAGAGAGAGAGAAAGTGTATTTCGAAAAATGTGTGTTTGATAAGTCTGATTCATGCTCCTTATATAGTTTATGAAAATGTATGAAGAAAAGGTAGGTGTTGGTTCACAGAAGGCACCTTGAATAGTCACAATTTGACCGTTTAAAAGGTAGTTAATAGTTAATGACTGTTAACTTTGAATTGTGCCTCTTGATCACACCCGATCGAATCGTGTCAATTGATCTCATCAACGGTGATCAACGATCAGCATTGCATCAAAACCAAAGCTGCCCTTCGCGAACCATGCGGGTGCGTGTGAAGTGCGAGCAAAGTGCGTCTCTAAAGTGCCTCATTGCGGCGCACACACGCACGCACACGCGTTGCGCGGTATCAAACCTCTATACTCTCCTCTACTATTTCTAAGGAGTGTAAATCAGCTCCTATTAAAATATTGAAAACAAAGCTTATAAGTTTCCAATGTGGGACAAGTTCAAAACTGGGTTTTGTAAGAGAAAGGCTAATTTTCCAAACAAGTGTGCAGGTGCAACTTCACATGTAACTGACCAATCAAACCCATTGGATTTAATCTCTTATGAGATTAAAACCCAACAATCCCCCACATTGATTGATCAATTACATAGTTCTCTCTCAATCCAAACTACTATGACACAGTTATGCATACAAAA